AAGAAACCAATTGCTACCCAAATAGGAAACTCAAAACTATATAATCATATGGCTAATTGTCTAGATGACCTAGCATAAATAAATAAAAGCAGTAAGAGTTAGAATCTAAATGAATTGACTCATCCAAGCATCTCTAAATTTATGCACATTCATCTTCTACAACAAAAGGTGACACCCTTGTTTTATACCCATCCCATAAAGCCGATATTTGTTCCCATTCGCGAGATTCAATTATCCAGTTCTAAAAACGGTAGTTACAATTAGATCAGTCCAATATCAGCACCACAGACAAATACAAAATCTGGAGATAATGATACATCCATCCATCCTCCAGTTCCTATCTAAACTCCATCCAAGAGTATAAAAACTGAGAACAGGAGAAATTACACAGAATTGAACAACATCACGTATATTGATTTGTCAGATCATTACATGAAGGCAAGTAATCCAACAGACTCGTGAGTGGCAATCGACGAGAATCCGGACGAAGGAGGAGGTCAAGCAAATCAACAAAGGCTCTAGCAATGATCCAAGATCCTAGAAAGATCTAGGGAGAAGAGAGGGAACACATTGGATACCAAAGTTGCACCATCGGAACTTCGAGCCATACAAGCATGAAACCCTAGAAAGGCACGGAGGAGAAATGAGTTTTCAGAAAGGAAGGACTCAGTTTGTACAACCGAGGAGGTGTCATTGACGATGGTCGTGATTTTAGCTTCAAGTTTTACCCGTGGATATGCTATTTACATGAAAATCTGGATTTAAGATGCGATGAGAAAATTACTACCATATAGTAAAAATAAGGTCATAAAATGCTGACATCACACTACATTATATAACTTGATAAGTGGCTATATAAACCATATTTTGAATTCTATGACAACATCAATTAAATAGATTCTTCCTTTATTTAAAATTCTCATCTTGCACAATCTCAATAAAAGCATGAACATATGTATATGTATACATATATACGTATACATATATATACATACACACACATATATGTATGTATATGCATGCATATGTATATGTATATATATGCATGCATATATATATATATATATATATATATATATATATATATATATTCAGGCTTCCAAACCGATCCCTATGGAAGATCACACCATGTCAAAAATGGGTTTCTCTAAGATAAATGAACTCCCAATAATCACTAACCTTGAAGACATTATGACAATTAAATATACTAAGGATCGGCATCATAATTAACACCAAATATATGCCATCATTGCCACAAACTTCAAATTATAATTGATGCAGGACAAATGCTGTAGTACCAAAGTACCAATATGATGTGGAACAACATTCTATGATACCAAATGTGATGTGAGAAAAATGCATGGAGGATTACTGGGAATAAGAAATTTGGTTCTTTTGTTTTTTTTTTTCACTCCATTTTTCCTTTCCCCTAGGCAAGTCAAACACTATTAAATGTTGCAACATATGATATTCACATAATCCCCATGAGCGGATAAAATTTATTCAAAAATTAAAGCAAAATGAAAATGAATCACTAACCAATTTATCCCCAACAATATCAGAAGTCAGAAGATTGTATCAGCTGAATTATTACTAATCTCAAGATAAATCATTGTTAATCATTTGTACAATTAGCATTCTATCGTGCATCATCATTACAGGTCGTGTACGAACTGGCATATGGTTTACTGACATATGGCATGCCAGCAATACTGGTCGACACCAATAAGAGGAGGAGGAGTGGAGTAGGAGAAAGATGAGGAAGAGGTAATTGTTTTCATATATGCTGCACCAAATATGGATGTTAAGCTACTTTTCACCTTTTAGATGTTTCAACTAAATCATTACAAATTTTACCTATGTTGTCAGCTCATAATAGAAAAGAATAACGTTAAATTATTCCATAAGATTATCAAAACATTTTATCACATTAGTAACAATTTCCTCCATCCTCTTTTGTTAACTTTTTTCATTTCACCATAGGTAGCAAACCATTCTACTATCTTATTACCCATTTATTTAAATCCATTTGCAATTCCAAATGCATATTCAAGGGTTTCAAACCTTTTGTCAGAGGAATGACTCCTAATACCTCACTTTCTTCAGAAAAACAAAGGAAGACAGCTATATGAAAAGGCCCCCATGTCAATTAAAATATTGATTCACAAAAAAATCCCAATAAAGTTGCTATTAAAGTTGATTGTGAACAGTATAATGATGACTAATGTTCTATAACAAATCATGTTGTTTTATTACAAAAGATCTAGAATACAATAGGATTGATCATATAAAAGACTAAGACAATGTTTGTATAAGAGAGATTTACACAGTAAAGAAAGTAAGAGCTAATGTGAAGATGCCTATTCCGAATCACCTTCAATTTCTCATGAAAGTCATGAATATCTATTTTTCTTAGTCCCCTTTTGTAAGATGAGAAATAGTATTTTATACTTATCAAACTTGGGGCCATAACTTCCCTCAAAAGAATAAGAAAATGTAAACCTGGGAACCCTATCTCACCAAGAAAAAGGAAAGAATCCAGTTAACTTCATCCCTTAGAAAGAACTCCACCCAGACCTATAACACTTAGGTCCATAGACTCCAATCAGACACTAAATAACGACAATCATATGCCCACATTAGTATCTATATGACCCAAAAGTAAAATATAACATGTCAGAATTGGATCACAAATCGATGAATTCAAGCAACTCTGAACTTGCGGGCGTTTAAGTAAATGCAAAACCCTTGTCTAATGTCAGCCCCATACAACCAAGATTTGCTCTCGTTCCACCCATCAAGCGATCCATAGTAATAAATAATAGTTACAATTTTGTCAATACAATACTACTCTTCAAAGAAATACATATATTTGAACAAGAAATGATGCATCCATCCACTCCCCAATTCTCATCTAAAGAGATGATTTTGGAATACACAAAGTTATTCTACAGCAATACATGAATCAAACTAGATGGAGATGATACACATAAAGTCACCATATCTTAACATGAAAGCTAGTAGTCCGACAGACTATGAACGGAAATCGACAAAGAAAGCGAAGGACCACAGCATCTTCCGAGGATCCAAAACCTAGAGAGATCTAGGAAGAAGGGGGGACGACGGAAGGGATCGGAGATCGAAGACATACCACAGGATTCCGGAAGGCAAGATGGCGAATCAAGAAGGGAGAGGACGACGAAGCCCTGGCCAAGCCAGACGAACGGATCTACTGGGGAAGAATGGGGAGGACTCACTCCTTTGCATGTATATGATGCAAAAGACAGATTTCACTTTCCAATTTTACCCTTTTACCTGTATTACTCTTATGAGCCGCGTCGTATCGAAGACGTCTTAAAACTGGGTCTCAAAACCTTGTAAATACATATTATCCATTTAGTTAATTATGATTAGCATTTTAGTCTTTATATTTTAAAAAATAATATTATGATCCCTATACTTATAAAAGTAAAATATTTAATCTCAATTCTCCTTACGTCGTTAATTTCGTTGATAAAAAAATTACATATGTTATCACGTGACAAAAAAACATAAATAAAAAAAATAAAATATAATTTTATTATCTTTTAAATTATTTATTTTATATAAATCTTTCGCCCACTGCTTGTGCGCTGTTTGTCTTACCTTCCTGCTCGCCCGTTGCACCTATCACTCGTTGCTCGCCTACTGCACTCGCTCACTCACCGTACCTACTCTCTTGTCGCTCGCTCGTCGCACTTGTCGCTTGCTTACTACATGACCCCCACATGACCATCTTCTAGGGCAAGAACTCGAAGATCCTCTTCACGGGTTAGCTCAGCACCAAGGGCGACATGTACGCCCTTGTTTTTGTTATCGTCTTTGCCTTCTCCTTGCTCCTTGAGTGGCTCCACCATTGTCGCCTCGTCAGGTCAGGAGCCAATCACATCGGCGAGGGGCTCGCCCAAACGACATTGCACATGCTGCGCATCAGCCTCACCTACCTCGTGATGCTCGTAGTCATGTCATTCAACGATGGCATGCTGATCATCGCCATCGCCAAGCACGTCCTCGAGTTCTTACTATTTGACGAGCGACGAGTAAGCGATGAGCAACAGGTGCGACAAGCGAGCGATGGGTGAGCAAGTGTAGTAAGCAACAAGTGCGGTAGGTGAGCAGCGAGCGACATGTGCGATGGACGAGTGGGTGCAGTGGGCGAGCGACGAGAGACAAGTGTGGCAAGCGACGGGCAAATAGTTTGGAAAGAGTAGGAGAAGAGGGAATTATTATTTTTATATAAATTAATAATTTAAAAGATAATAAAATTATATTTTTATCCTTTTCTTTTGTGTGTTTTTTTTCACATGACTATACGTGCGATTTTTTCCATCGACGAAGTTAACAATATAAGAAAATTTTGGGTTAAATATTTCACATTCGTAAGCGTATGGACTATAATGTTATATTTTAAAGTATAAGGACCGGGATGCTAATCATGATTAACTATATGGGATAATATGTAATTGCTAGTCATAGGTGCCCTGCAAGCTAATCACGTGAGTGATGACATATGTGACTTAACATAATCTTTTTAACTTATTATTATTATTTAATATTTTATCACTTTATATTGCCTGTTGCTTAATATATTGTGATATCTATAGATCTGTATAATGGTAATCGAATCGTGATGAGGTTATGGCTTGATGCGAGTAAGAAAAATATTAATCAAGCTTGATGCAGAGGTTATGGCTTGAATTTTGAGAAAAGAATTAGACCCTTCTTAAACTAAACTTGTGTATGATATCTTTCATTTGATGTATTATTTTATTAATGTAACTGTCACTCGGTGTATAGAAAGATAAATCAATACAAAAATTGCCTATTTTATTTGGAGGAATGACTGACTGTTGGATTTCTCCAACTTCTTATGTGCTGATCTTCAGATGATAGGACATACCTATTTTTTGACTTAATATATTTTTTTTTCTTTTTAGATAAAAAAAATTGTTCTCATCAGATTTGGAGGAAAAAGGTGCATTCCCAAGTGACAAAATTTCCAAGTCAGGATTTGATATGGAAATTGTCATGTAGCTTCCAACCAGCAGTTATGTACAAAAGGATGTTTCCATGAAGAACTCCACCAAGATGAAGTTAGATATCCAAGTGAGGTTCATAGAAATCACTCAAGCAGGGAGACATTATCTCCTCCTCAAGCATCTGCAGCACTCTACTCATCGATGGGCGTTCATCAGGATTCGCATCGGTGCACATCGCAGCTATATCAAGGATCGCTTCTACAGCTTCGACGTCGACGTTACCGCACTTTTCATCCACAATTTCCTCCAGGCGATTCTCCTCTTCCAGCGTGTTTAGCTGCAGATTCATAAGAAGTGAGCTCCTCTGACATGGTGATCAACAAGAGCAGAGCAATAATATGGATCTAATTACCCAGCCAACAATGTTCAAGCCTCTCCTCACAAAGGATGGATCTGTGGGTCTTTTTCCAGTCACCAACTCTAACAGGAGAACTCCAAAGGAGTACACATCTGACTTCTCTGTTGCATGTCCATTTTGCAGGTACTCTGGAGCATTGAAATACCAGTGTGTTAGTAGTTCATACTGAGAGGCGTGCCTTCATGACAGGGACACAAGTCGCAGTGAGATAAGCAGGAACGCAGATGAACCAACTCGTCATGCAAGGAGCAAATAGCAAACCTGGTGCCAGATAGCCGAAGGTGCCAGCAACCACAGTGGTGACATGGGCATCGTCATCTACCAGGAGCTTGGCTAAGCCGAAATCTGAGACATGAGGTTCCAGGCTCCTGTCAAGTAAAATGTTGCTGGATTTGATGTCCCTGTGAACGATCCTGGGAGTGCAGTCATGGTGCAAGTAGGCCAGCCCTCTCGCGGAGCCAAGAGCAATCTTCATGCGTGCATTCCAATTCAAAGGTTGATCTTCTCCACCATTTTCTGAAATTATGAGGCGGTCAATAGATCTTTTGCAATGGTGTTAGGCTTGGAAGATACAGCAGTGAGCAACGGAGAAGCTTACCATGAAGGTAATGGTCAAGGCTGCCCAAGGGCAAGTAATCATAAATGAGAAGCCTTGCAGATGGCAGCCTACAGTAGCCTCGCAGATTGACAAGGTTAATGTGCTTAATGCTGCCCAAGATCTCCAGCTCCCTCTCAAAGATCTGATCGACTCCTTTGCGGTACCAATCAATCTTTTTAACAGCAAATGCATTGTTATCGTCCATGACCATCTTGTAGACAGTGCCAAAACCTCCAGAACCAATCACATCATCTTCATCAAGCAGCTCCAGCTTCTTTATGATTTCCTGGGACGGATATGGGAGGTTTCCATGGAAGGTGACAAGCTTGGTGCCTAATCAGAAAGAAAATTATGTCAGCAAGTTTTATCATGGTTGAGGGAGAATTAGAGGGATGTATATAGCTTACCAACATCTTGCACAAGTTGTTTTTGGGCTTTGACATAGTTTTCAGCAAGCTTTTCCTTCCTTGAGAGCAAGCAAATCCAAAGGAAGCCAAGGATCGAAACTAATGCAAGGGCCATTGTGGTCATGGCGCCAAGGATAACCCCATTCAGAAAATGTGATGATCTTTTTGTCGGGATCGATGAGATTCCTGGAAAGTTTTAGGAAAAGTTTAGGACACATTCAAGACATTAGACAACTGCTGGTTGATCAACACCTGATATTTTGAACAATGAAGGCCGAATGGAGTTCAGAAAGCACAGTGTCACTGAGACATGCCTGGTGAAGAGAAAGTGTTGGTGTGTGGTAGCACTGCAGGAAAGCCCATGGAACCACGACAAACTTTCTGAATTGTCAAGCCACATAATTCCAGATTCCCGACAAACCTGCATTATCTATGCACCATCAGAATCATGTTCTGTAGTAGAAATATTGTGAAACAACAACAATAACAAATGCTAATGTCTCAATTATTTCTCCACATAATCCACCCAGTTTTTACTTTATCAAAACATGTGAAGATGAAAACAAGAAATTTTCCACAGATCAAACATTTAGAAGGGCTTACGAGGTGTTTCTGAAACTTGCAAGAACTCCAACAGTTGGAATCTCCCCGGAGAAGAAGTTGGTCGATAGATTTCTGCACTTCGATGAATCACAGTCAAACAAATGGTGAAATGCTGAGCCAACAACGGCGGTGGCATCGAAGACTCACAGAAAACGCAATTGAGTCAGACGGCCAATTGATGGAGGAATCGCACCCCTCAGCAGATTACTCGACAAGTCCCTGCATTTTGCACATCAAACTCATAAAGACCCAGACAAAGGTAAAACATAATCACAGATCAGAAGGATGGAGAGATACAGGATGGTGAGGTGGGCGAGTTCTCCGATCTCGGGTGGAATGCTCCCTTGAAGGTAATTAGCTCTCAGATACCTTGAGAAAGCAACACAATGCGGCACAACCAAATGGAGATCAGCAGCCAAACTCGGTGAAAGGATGGACAAAGAGAGAAGAAGTTAGCATACAGGGCTTTTAGCTCGGTGCAGTTCTTGATCTCAGGTGGAATGGGCCCATGTAAGCTGTTCTGATGCAAAGCCCTGCCAAAACACCCATATAATTGCATCAAGTACTTGAGATGAAAGATATTCTACACAGAAAGAAACATGTCTCCTTTCCTGGTGCAAATATTGTATCTAGTCACAATCAAACGCCTGTGAAGAATCAATCCGAACTAAAAAATGACATTCTAAAAGATTAAACAAAGATTATGTTAGAACATTGTATATATCTTACATGCATCCAAAGATTTTTTTCCTTGAAGATTAAAAGGAAGAAAGGCGATGTTCTTACAGTCTCTGAAGCCTTCGGAGCCGGCCGATGCTTGGGGATATGATGCCACCGAGCTGCATGTAGGGCAAGTTACTGCAGCAGCAACCAAAAAGATCAGAGAGATAGAAAGACAGAGAAGACAGAGAGAGAGAGAGAGAGAGAGAGAGAGACAGAGAGAGAGAGAGAGCAGACATGGAGCGGACGGTGAGGTCGGAGAGGTGGCAGGCGACGCCGAGCCAGGAGCAAGGATTGGAGTCGGAGGGCCGCCAGCTCCGCAGCATCTGCTTGGAGTCGTTGAAACCCAGCTTGATTTCCAGCAGAGCTTCTCCTGCCAGCCCAAACCAAGCCCATCCTCTTCACTTCACTAAACCTCTTCCAACAACAAGAACAAGAAAGATGGAGTTGTAAGCAATTACCATCAGCGGTCAAGGCACAGGCGGAAGGGAGCAGGACGAAGACGTAGAGAGCCCAGCAGAACCACCATGAGCCGATGCTCTGCTTCCCCATTCACCGTGTTGGCTTGCTCGATCAGAGTGAACGGAGGAGGAAATGGAATGGAGTTACAGAGGAAGGGTAGAGGTTGGTTTTGGGAAGTGTGCTTCTCCCTAATACCAACAAAAGACGACGATAAAAAGATGATCATGCGGTGAAGAGAGAGGAATGGGTGGGGACAAGGCGTCGGAATTCGTGCCGGGCGTCCAAGAGAGTTATTTAGCCGTTGGGGGTGGACGATTTTGAAACGACGGGAGGGGGGCTGGGGCGGAACCCGGCCTTGGCACGTGCGTGTTGGGAGACAACGGTCAGGGAACGAGGGTTCCCGGGCACGTGACGCCGGGCTTTGGATTCCTTTGGCGGCACGTGGGATGCAGGAGAGGAATCTGGAGTTTTCTGGGTAACTGCCGTACTCGAGTGCCTCCAAATGCATTTTCTAGATTTTTTTTATTTCGTTTCATTTTTCACTTATATTTCTTAATTTTGAGTTATTATTGTAGCAAAAATAACTTCTCTCGATCACAGGAATTCAAAGCTTGTAACAATGTCATAAATGATCATCCACGTAGATTAATAAGTAAGAAGAAGCACAGCTAAGACTCTGAAATCTACCTCTTTTATTAAAGGCACGTTAGCGTGGACTACGCTAATGAGACTCCCCATCCAGGATTCGGTATCTGTACCACTTTGCACACGCAATGAAATAGATGAAGTTAACGGCCCCAATCACTCCTATGAAATAGTAGAACAGCTCCAGTCGTCCCTCGTTGAGATCCTGCGCCAACCATTTCCCCTGCCCGTTGTCCGCCGTCGCGTGGTGAATGATCATCACCATCAGCCCGCTCAGGTAGCTGGCGATGGCAATGCCGCAGAACAGCAGCGACCCCGCCAGGCTCCTCATGTTCTCCGGGAACTGTTTGTAGAGGAACTCCAGTTGGCTCACCAGGTTGAACGCCTCCGACAGCCCCAAGAGCAGCAGCTGCGGCACCAGCCAGAAGCTAGACATGGCGGAGATCCCGCCGCCGCCGGTGGTTGTTCCGATGCTTGGATAGTGGAGCGCGATGCTCCGCCGCCGCTCTTCCACCAGGCCCGAGACGAACATGGCGACGATGGAAAGAACGATGCCGATTCCCATGCGCTGGAGCAGCGAGATGCCGCCGTCCTTCTTGGTGATTCGTTGGAGCAGCGGGACCACGATCCGGTCGTAGAGAGGTATCCAGACCGTGAGGGCGATGCTGGAAAAGATGGTGAAGGAGGCTCCGGGTATCTCTAGGTTCTTGGAGACATGTCGATCGGATTGAAGGGCTTGGAAGACCACGTAAGTGGTCTGTTGAGCCACTGCGATGTAGTAGAGGATACCCGTGGACCAGATGGGAATGATTCGTGCCACACATTTCACCTCCTCAACTTGTTGTATGCTGCACAACTTCCATGGGTTCGCAGCTGAGCCATTGGGATTGATCTCATCAGCGGAGTATATAATTGAAGCTTTGTCCAGAAACCTGACACCACGAAGCCACGAAAGACCAGATTACAAATCATGCAAGTGCCTGTCCTTCTTCTTCTCTGTTAATAGGTGAAGCAAAAGGCTCAAACTACTGGAACGAGTGTTGGTGCCACGGCATGCTTACTTGAACTGATCAGTGTATGATAGCTTGGCGACCAGAGTACTAACATGTGGAGGGTTGAACAGGGCCTGCTTTGGGTCATCAGGCAGCTTCATTCCTCGCTTCCTAAACGCGGCCACCAGAACCTGCACGATGCTCGTGACGGGGCTCCCCTCGGGCTTCACCTTCACGTAGATCCTCGACGCCACGAAGAAGAACACGCAAGAGACGGCCATAAGCATAGTAGGAATGGCGAAGCCCAGCGTCCAGCTCACATTGCTCTGGAGGTAGATGATGACGGTGGAGGAGAAGGCGACGGCGATCGTCAAGGTGAAGTAGTACCAGTTGAAGAAACTGTTGATGCCCTTCTTACCGGACTCCGTCGTGGGGTCGAACTGGTCTGCGCCGAAGGCGATGTTGCACGGCCTGATCCCACCGGAGCCGATCACCAGGAGCCCGAAGCCGAGGATGAGAAAGAACAGCTGGAATGACGTCGGTCCCTCGCACGTCTGGTCTTGTATGCACGGCGGAGGGTGCAACTTGGAGACGGCTGCAGTGAGCGTCATGATCGCCATTCCCTTCCAAGATTTAGCAGTATGTTACTGATGTATCGGACCTGGTTGCTCATTCTCAGGCTTAGCTTATCGGTCCCTGAGTTGGAAGCCCAAATCCAGATGAACTATTCGATCCTTGATGTTATAGGAATATTAGAGTCAGTTCGAAGTTTTCGTGATCGGGTTCTGGTTTTCACCCTCTTCAATTATTAATTACGATTATCGATTTCTTTGTTCATCATCACCTTGTTGACTGGTTCTGCCTCACAGACAATATAGCGTAGAGAGATGCGAACAAACGGGAAGAGATGGAGGAGGAGAGCGGGGAGCGTGAGTACCAGCAAGGAAGCCATGGAGGAGAAGCCGAGGGTGGCGTACCGCCCCCAGTACGTGTCGGAGACAAACGCACCAAGGATGGTGGCCAGGTTGGTCGTCCCGTTGAACACGTTGAGGCTGGTAGCCGCCGCGACACTACTCAGGTGGAACACCACCGTCAGGTACACCAGCAGGTTCGACAGCGTGCCGATCGTCGCCAGCTTCTCAAACGTCTCGTTCCCTGCATGCACGCCCACCACTCATCTCATCTTAGGAGGACAGGAACAGGGTAAGATCACCCGACGCATCCCATGCATGCGTGCATGAACGCAATCGATCTGATCTCATGCAAAATATCTTATCGAGTAGCCACCGAATCAATCGATTCGTTCCAAGACACAAAACCGTTGAGATTGCAGGATCACGAAGATCGTACCGATGACGAATGGCATGGTTTTCCAGCCCCTGTGCTTGATAAGAGGCTCGCCGACGGCCGCCGCGCCGCTCTCGGAGGCCTCCATTGTTCCCTTTGGCTCTTCTCTCTCCCCCTCCCCCTTGTCTTCTCTTCAGATCTCCATACAACTGAGAGGAGCAATGGCCTAGGCGTGCAATCTGAGGAAAATTAATCAAGGGAGCTCCATGGCGATGTCCGAATCCCTCAGATCTTTCCAATGAGGAGTCCCTCACGAGAGAAGATGATCCGGATTAGGTGGTCGATTGTGTTATATTAATGAACGGAAGGTATCCCACATGTATGTCCGATGTTTACGTGATGATATGCAGGTGCGAGAAAGAGAGCGTGAGCGAGTAAGAGGCGGCCACAGAAGAATAGGTAATGGCAGATCAACCAAGTCTTCTGGCCTCTCACAGCTTATGCTTACCAAAATAGCTTTCTCAGGAATTATTCTATCTTTCTTAAGTTTTGACCATTTATTCTGACACATCATTAATCATATATATATATATATATATATATATATATATATA